AGCCATGCAAATGAACCAACGGTCCCCGCAGCGCCGAGGTGCGCAGGCGCAAGTCGCCGCCGGGGCGGCTGGGCAGCCGCCAACAGCCTGTGGGAATCTGCCGCGCACGCGCAAGGCGTCGCTGGGGGGGGCCTCCCGCGCAAGCGCGCCGCCCTTCCGTCGGGACGAAAATGTTCGTAGCCCGGGGGCAGTGGCCGCGGCTGTCAGCCTAGAAAAGGCAGCAGAGACGCCACCGCTGCGCATCAGGCTGCCTTCCTGACTTTACCTGTCCTCGCAGTCGCCCTGGGTCACCCCGGGAGCCGTCCACGGCCTTGAGGCGGACGCGGGGCGGCGCGGCGCGCCTGCGCGAGTACGGCGGCCGGCAGGGGCCAGGCGCTGCCGTGCAGCCGTGCGTGCCGCCCGCGCCCCACGTGGCCACAGAGACCCGGTGAGTCGCAGCGACAGCTGCTGAGGCCCCTCACGCGCGAGGGACAGGTGCCTCGCGGGGTGGGGCTGGGGACGGTGGCGTGAGCCTCGGGGACTTGACTTGGGGGGATGGAAACGTTACGGAAGCTTCCGGGGGACAGAGCCCCCCCAAGGTCCCTTGTCTGGTCTTCTCTGCATTCATTCATTTAGCACTTGTGTGCTGCTCAGCCTGGCCCCTCCTAGGCGCAATTGGGAGGGAAGGGAAGGTCGGGATAAAATGGGTTAGGGCCCCAGCTGTCATGGAGCTTAAATTTCATTGGGGGAGTGGACTAGACCGCACAACAAAGAAATGAACCAAGTCGCACTAGGTAGAGATGCTGTTACTGTCAGCCACTATGGAGTCGGCCCTGACCCGCGACAACCCCACGTAGCAGAGTAGTACCGCCCCCGGGCAGTTTTCTGGAACGAACTATTTACAAAAACCGATCTCCAGGTCTTTCTTCAACGGAGTTGCTGGGCGGATTCGAGCCACCAGCCTTTAGGTTAGCAGCTGATCAATGGGAAACTGTACCACGCAGGCTCCTTGGTAATGTTTTCCAGTGAGCGGTCGTGAAGAGTGCTCTGCAGGGATCTAGGACGGATAGTGCGCAGCGGAGGGCTGACAGAGTGGGTTTTGTTGGGGAGGGTAAGGAAGCCATTGGAGGGTGTGAGGGGGGGGAGTGTTTTCCTGGCTTCCTCTGGCTGCTTCTTAGAGAACAGGAGATGGGCGTGGTGGGTAGTAGGCACGTGAGGTCATCCAGATGGCGCAGGGTTATGCAGGAACTAAAGTGAGTCAAATGTTAGAACTCACTCCTTCCTTCCCTTTTTTAAAAAGTTGTATTAGCGCTTTATCCACATATCATACAATTCAATCACATCAAGATGTGCCTTTCTTCCTTACATTCGTTCTTTCTTATTTTATTGCTATTAAAATAGCTACATTCTTTCAGTGCTGCAGCCATTCTGACATCCTTCTCCAAATTGCTCCTTCCTATTAATATAAGCTCATGGCCCCCTCCCTAACTTAAAGGTGCTGTTGTCAATTTGATCCCATGGAGAGAGTTCTTAAAACAACAATGCTCAAGGTGGACATTTTTGACTAATTAGCTAAATGATCCTTTGATCTAAGGAAGCCTAGTGGTGTCAATTAAACGCTCAACTGCCAACTGGAAGTTCAGTAGTTCCAATTCATCAGGCTCCCCTGGAAGGCAGATGTGGCATCTGCTTCTGTCAGTATATAGCTCTGGACTCCTGACCCAAGGGGGGCCAGTTTACTCTCTCTAGAGTCAACTCTTAATTGGAATTGACTCACTGGCAATGGGGTGTTTGGGTTTTTTAGATTCAGGTCAGTGGTTTTACCCTATGGAGCAGTTCTGTTCTGGCCTATAAAGTCACCATGAGTCAGAATTGAAATGAGTTTTAATTGTCTGATTTAAAGAAGACTTCAAAGGATATTCTATGTTTAAGGTTTAAAGGGAGCACTTAAAAATAATAGATAAAAATAAAGGGAGCACATGAGAGGATTTTGTGTCAGTTTCACTAGACTAGGATTCTCAGAGTCTTGACAGTAATTTCCCACGCTGAGACCTAATAAAATGCATTCACTTCCATGATGAGGTCTGGATCCATAATCAATGTTTATGATAATCATCAAGAAATCAAATGAAGTGATCCATTTGGCATATCTGCTGCACAAGACCTCTTTACAATATGCAGCAAATGTGTCACTTTAAGGACTACGGTGTGCCTGACCCATGCTATCTAATTGCATTTGCCTGGTGTACATATGAAAGTTGGACAATGAATGAGGTAGACCAGAAAAAAATTCATTTGAACTGTGATGTTGGCGCAGATTATTAAAGGTGCCATTGAGCAGGGTCTGCACAGCAGAGCGAAACACTGCCCTGTTCTAAGCCTTCCCCATAATTGCGAAAGCCCATTCTCGTAGCCACGGTGTCCATCCATCTTCTGGAGGCCCTTCATCTTGTTCACTGGCCCTCTACCAAGCATGATGTCCTTCTCCAGGGACTGGTCTCTCCTGACAACATGTCCAAAGGACATGAAATCAAGTCTCATCATCCTTACCTTTAAGGAGCCAGAGGAGCAAGCAAATCTGTCTTGAAAGACATCTAGGCAGGATGCGCCTTAGAAACCAGGATGGTGAGATTTCTTTTTTTTTTTTTTTTAACATTTTATTAGGGGCTCATACAACTGTTATCCCAATCCATACACACATCAAGAGATTTCATCTCATCTCTTTGAACATGTAATTAGGAGAGACCAGAGTCAGTGAACTAGATAAAGAGCGTCAGAGAGATGGATTGCACTATGACTGCAACAATGAGCTCAGGCATAACAGGATTAGACAATGTTTACCTTTTGTTGCACATAGGGTCGCTATGAGTTGGGAGTGGCTCCTAACAACAACAACTCAGCCATTAGTGATCCTTGGTGTCTCTGCGGGTTACGTGTTGGGTTTCTAACCAAAAGGTCAGGTTTTTGAACCCAACAGCTTCGCCTGGGAAGGTTCTCTTTGGTCCCGGTGAAATTTTTCATGAAAGCAGTTTTGCTCAAACCTCATTTTTCGTTTTTTTTGTGTGTGATGGCCTAAGTAAGAGAACAGCGTGAGGCTGTGAAATGTTGTTTCCTGCTCAGGAAAAATGCCACAGAAACTGTTGTGATGTTGAACACAGCTTACAAGGACAGCACTGGGGAAAACTCAAGTGTACGAGTGGTTTTCTCATTTCAAAAAGGTGAAATGCCGACTGATGACAGACCTCATTGTGGACATCCTTTAACTTCCCAAACGGATGAAAATGTCGACAGAATTCGTGCACTTGTGCTCGAAGACCAAGGACAACGGATCATTGAAGAGATGGGGAAGTTATCTGGACTGTCTTGCAGCTCGGTTCAGAGGATTTGAATGGAAGATTTGGGAATGAGAGGAATTGCTGCGAAATGTGTGCCTCAGGCTCCGACTGACCAGGAAAAAGAGCATCGAATGGAAATATGCCGTGCTTTGAAAGAATAGCTCCCAAGCAACCCAGACTTTTTGTTCCAAGGTTATTCCTGGTGACAAAACATGGTGCTATTCTTATGACCCCAAAAGCAAACATCAATCAAGCCAGTGGAAAATGCCATTGTCACCTCACCCCAAAACAGCTTGTCAAGTGAAATCAAAGATCAAGACAATGCGTTTTTGTTTTTGTTTTTTAATGTGAGGGGGGATAGTGCATTTGGAGTTCATTCAGACTGTTAACCAAGCTTTCTATTTAGAGGTTCTGAGAAGATTGCCTAACAGTATGTGACAAAAGACCTGATTTGTGGCAGACGTGGGACTGATTTTACCACCACGACAATGCACCTGCTCACACAGCCATCTCAGTACACCAGTTTTTGGCAAAAAAAAACCATGCCTTTCTTGCACCTTACTCACCTGACAGTGTGCAATCATCACTACAAACAAATTTAGAACTTTCATTTTTTGTACTTATTATTAGTTCCATCTACCCCCGCAACGTCACCTGCCATAACTCTCAGAAACTATTAATTGAGTTAATGTCTCTATAGATTTACCTATCCAGGATTTCATATAAAGAAAATCATACCAAAAATAGCATCTACAACAAAATAAAACAAAACCCTTAATCCAACGGAAAGCAGAAAATTATAAAAAATAAGAGCAAATTAAAAATGGAACAAAGGTAAGTCAGTAAGATGTTGAATTTTAATCTAAGTGTGTCTGGATCAAGTACTGTCCAATGCACTTTGTCTGAGGGCTGAGCTAGTCACATGCCTAGTCAGTGGTCCGAGAGAATTCATTAGAGCTTAATCCCTGTGGAGATTCTGCAAATGGATTTTAGGCTTTCACTGCCATCCATAGCTTTCTGCAATCCAGGTGCTCGAAATTTAAGCTCCCGCCTCTCATCTTGGATTTTATTACTTACAATCCTTGGATCACACAAGCTGGTGTGCTTCTTCCATATGGACTTAACTGACAGCTCACTTAGATGGCTGCTTGTTTTTTTGTTCGTACAACTCTTATCACACACAGTCCATATATCCATCATGTCAAGCACATTTATACATTTGTTGCCTTCATCATTCTCAAAGCATTTTCTTTCTACTTAAGCCCTTGGTATCAGCTCCTCATTTTTTCCCCTCCCTCCCTCATGAACCCTTGATAATTTATGAACTATTATTATTTTTTCATGTCTTACACTGTATATCTCCCTTCACCCACTTTTCTGTTGTCTGATTGCTTGTTTTAAGACAAGCTTTTAAGATTCCAAACAATATCCTTTCTGGTAGAGTCTGTCTACATTTATGATTTACCACCTCAGCAATTGTATTCGTCTGGGTACTTTGGAGAAACAAATCCACGGCGACTCACGTATAAGAGAGTTTTATGTAAAGAAAATGTGCATCACGAAAACATCTCAACCCAATGCTGCCCAAGCCCACAAGTCCAACATTAACCCATGAACCCAACACCAGTCCACAAAGTCCTCCACCTCACAAAACAGAGGCAATGATGCCGACCGCAGGAGGAAAGCTGAGTCAGTAAACGGATAAGCATCTCAGCACTAGCAGGGGTCTCCACACGGCTGCTCCAGCACCCAGGGCTACATCTGGATAGGTCCTTGCGGCTTCTCCTTGGGGATGTCTTGTAGGATGTCAATCTTGCAAGCTGAAGCAGGGAGCTGCTAAGGCAGCTGCACCCTGGTGCGACCATCACAAAGCAAGAGACTGGAGAACTAGAAAGGCGAGGCTCACCACCCATTTATCCCTCTGCCTTTCAATTAGCCCCACATGTGATTATCGGCCAGGCTGGCGCAATTAACTAACTCAGCAATGTTACGCAGCAGTTCTGCTCTGTGTTATTGGGGTCACTATGAGTTAGAACCAACTTGACAGCAGGGAGCATCCAGCTATTTGCTGGGAATGACCAAGATTACAGCTAGAAGGGTCATTTTAAGTGAT